CCGTCCCAGTCCACATACGGTCCCTCCCCAGTTTCTCTCTCGGGCGCAGGAAGCAGCAAACCTCCCCTCCCCCATTCGTCCCTTTACAGTGTGGGACATTCCTGCTTAGTTCCTCTCTCGTCCAGATCTCTGTCCTGGGATTTGGGCTCTGACCTGACGTTTCCTCAAGAGCCACTGGAGGAGCGCTTCTCTCTTTGGGTGGCTGTCCCTCCACGGAAAAACGCTGCCCCCCCCCCCCCCGGGGAGACAGCACCCCTGGCCACGTGGAGGTGGCGGCTCTGCAGCTTCACAGCAAACGCGCAAACGGGCTGTGGGCCCTCCGCCCGGAAAGCAAAACTGCCAGAACTTCCTCCCCGCAGCCTTCCAAGCTGCCCCACAAACCCGGTGACCTCCCCACCGAGCCTCAGCAGGATGTGGCCCCTTGACCTACAGGGCCCTGGGAACACTTACCCTGCAAGCAAGTGGGGCCCCGCGGCTCTCCTCTGATCCCCCCCAAATGTGGAATACCTCTCTCCGCCCTGCCCCGACTGGTCACCACTGCTGTGATTTTTGGGGGGTGAAAAGTACAAGTGTCCTGGAATCTAAGGTGTCACAGCTGGAAGGGGCCATGAAGACCATTCTGACCCACTTTGCCATTTCACAGACGAAGAAGCCGAGGCCCAGGGCCTGCAGGGCCCTGCCGGAAATCATGTAATGAATGGGATTGCAGGCATCTGCTTGTGGAAGGCACCCCTTCTTCCATTTTGCTCTCTTCTGAAGTTAGACAATGCCTTTGTGTTAGTCGTGCAATTTCTTTCCAGTCACATGTGACAGAAAACCAACTTGAAAATGCCTAAAGGAAAAAAAAAAAGGAATTTGTTGGCTCCTGCCCGGAGCTGGGACGGGCGGGGTGGGCAGGTCAACTCGAGGCAAGGAGGCGCCGCTATGGGCGGAGGCGAATGCCGGCGGGGGAGGTGCGGGGTCTGCTGCAGCCCACCTTTCGGCTGCCGCACATTCTTATAGACTCCCCCCTCCCCCCAGCACAGCTGTGCACACACAGGCTTAGACACATTTGCCGAGGGAGGCCGCTAAGTGCCACCAGCTGCGGGGGCCAGCCATTCTGAGCGCGCCCATTTGTGCTCTCTGCAGGAGTCTCCCTTGTCCACTGTCCCCTTTGATCCTTCATCTGGGCGTGCTGGTTCTTCTTCTGCCTCTGTAACAACCTATTTATTCTCTAGGTTTTGCTTGGAGGGTCTCTGAATGCCGTAGGGCCTCTGTCCCCACGCTCGGGCATTCTCTGGTTCTGTGGCCGTAGGGCCGTCGTGCGGTGCAGGTAGTGGTCCAGGCTGTGCCCCAACAGAGGCCTCCTGCTGAGAGGAGGCGGGACTACGTCTTCCCAGAGTGGGAGGGACCCCTTTTCCCATGGCACACAAAGTTTCTCCAGGCTTAAAATTGTGTTGTCTTCTGACAATACAGGCACTTAAAAGCTGAATATGTGCATCAGTTGGAATGTTTTTTTTTTACAGCAACAACAGAAATCCCAATTAGTCCAAAGGAAAGGTATATTCGTTTGTATTATACAGTCCAAAGGAGCGGCAATGGACTCAACAATATCCAGAGAAAGATGTCTCTTTCTCAAGAGTGAGGGAAACATTTTCTAGAAACTTCCTCCCTGGCTTCCCCTCACGTCTCATTGGCGTGGGTCACGTGCCTGCCCTCCACCAATCACTTGCAAAAGAGAATGGGATTCCTCAGTTGTCTGAGGCTGCTCTTAGACGTAGTCCCCGAGCAGGGAATGTGATAAGGTTCCGGGGTGCAACCTGGGCTTGGTCGGCTGAAAGGGAGGCAGGGAGGCGGGGCCCCTGTGAACCGGAATGGGCGTGGCTACAGCAGGCCTTTGTCTGTTTGCCCTCAGCCTCTTGCCTGGTCCCCTGTCCTTGAATCCAGAAGGCAGCCTGCTGGTTTCTCTCTCATGCTCCTAGATCTTGGTTCCCTGCCTGTTCCCCCCGCTTTCGGTCTCACAGCCTCCACCTTCTCCCTTGCTTTGGACCCACGGGAGGCAAGCCCAGGGGTGGGAGGGTAGAGCTGTGGCCCTCTGCCCCAGGCTCTGTTCTAGCAAACTGGTCTTTACCAGGAGGCAGCGTTTAGCGTCCCGGGGTGCTTTGGGAAAAAAACCTGGGAAACTAGGCTTAGCGTCCACCTGGGATCCAGTTCCTCAGCTTCCTGCCAGTGCAGGCTCTCATTTCAGTTTACAGCATGGAATTCATCTTTTCTAACTTTGCAAGACTCTTGGATAACTGAGATTGCTGGCTGGAGGCCGCAAGGGGCCCTGCTTCCGGGACTGCGCCTTTCCCGCCCCTCCCCCCTTTCCCATGGGCTTGTCTTTTCTGGGAGTCGTAGAAGGCCCAAGAATGAGCCACCACCCCGAACATGTGTACTGTACGTGAGAGAGAGTCCAGATTATAGGACAGCTTTAGATTTAGACATAGAAAAATAAACCTTGTTTTCATAATGCAGACCGAAGAAGGGCTCTACAAAACCAACTTTGCAGGCAGGGGGAGCGGAGAACAGAAGAGAAAGCTTGAGAAGCCCACAGGGCTGTGAGGAATGGGGAGGACGGTTGTTGATCTGGGGAACAGTGTGGTCTCCTGGGGAGACGGGGAAAAAGACTCCAGCAACGATTAAGGAGGGAGTGGTGTGAATCTGTGGTCAAGCATTGAATAGTGTGGTAAGCACCCCTTCCTTCCCTACCTGGCAAAATACTGACGTGAAGCCACAGACGAAATGTCACCTTCTCAGAAAAGTCTTCCCTGGACCCTCTGGTATGGACCCACAGTGCTGAGTCCATAGCCCTTCTGGTCCTGCTTTTGTGTCTTATTAATCCTTACCCAAGAATATGTTTATTAATCTGAGAGAGAGAGACACACACACACACAGATCGGTTGCTTCCCAGACAAGCCCCAGCTGGGGACAGAGCCCGCATCCTAGGTGTGTGCCCTGACCAGGGACTGAACCTGCAGCCTGTTGGTGTACGGGACCCTGCTCCAGCAAACTGAGCCAGGGTGCCCTACTGGCACTTGTCATGCCACACCCGCAGCACAGACACACGGCTCGGATCCTCTGCAGCAAGGAGGGCAGCCCTGGCCAGTCTCTTGTGTGTCTAATTCTATGCTGGTGACAGTGTCTGGTGACACCTGTCAGAGAAGCCGCATGCTAGTTGGTTACTTCTGTCTCTTCCACCAGACCATGAGCTCTCTGAGATCAGGGACCAGGCGGCAGGGGTGGGGGCAGGGGCTCAGTGGACTGATGGTCCATCCCATCGCCATGTTGTGACGAGGCCGCACTTCCCACGGGCTGTTCCCAGCTGGCGACTGCGCATAGCATGCACTGGGGCCAGTGGTCATGCGGACACAGGACCCCCGACCACGGTGTCGGCTCCGAGACTGCGCGTCGGTGCAGCTGTCTGAGCTCTTCCTGCCCCCGTCCTTCCTTCCCCGCTCAGTTCCCAGGTCTGAGATTGGGCACCAGCCTTTGCCCGATCCCTGCTCTTTGCCCTTCGCGGGCATTTCTCCCTGAGCGTGTCCTGCATGTCTAATCTTGTCCTGGTGACAGCTTCTTGGAGGACCCGAGAGAACAGTCGGTTGCTCCTGTATCCTGCTAGACGGTGAGCTCCCTGAGATCGGGGCCAGTGTGTCTTGGGCATCGTCCCTCAGCGGAGCACAGCACCTGGCCCAGCAGGATGAATGAACAAAAGGATGAGACCTGAGAGGAGGGGCAGATAAGTGAGAGAAAGAAACCAGAGGAAGCTTCAGGGGGCAAGTGAGCCTTGCCTGGCCCGGAGGCTGCGGGTGTGGAAAGCAACTGTCTTCACAGAGGCTCAGCCTCTGTGGAGGATGGATTTAGCGTTTCATCATCTTCCCAGAGCTGGGGTCAGGGGAGAGCTGCGGGTGACTCTGATGGGGTCAGCCTGCCTCGGCATGGGAGGGTTGGCCAGGTAGGGGTGGGGCAGGGAGGCAGAGCTGGCGGAAGGGCCTCCTCCGCTGTCCTCCACACCCAAGCCTGAGGCTCTGACCCAGAGCGGGGCCCCAGATGGTGCCAGGAAGCCCTGGGGCACCCCTGTGAGTCAGGGCGGATTTTCATCAGACGTCTCCACCAGGAGGTCTCCATCCAGAGCCACAGCGAACTCCCCTGGGCGAGTTCCAGTCTCTCCGGTGCTCTGCGCAGCCCCGGAGGGGCCTGGTCCTGCTCCCACCACCACACTGTCTACTCTGGTGACATCCGTTTACCGTTCCCAACCAGGACAATCCTGACCTCGGAGCCTGGTCCTGGCCAGCAGGGGTGGATAGAGGGAAATGCTGGCAAAAATTGGGCGCCTGTCCCTGCCCGACTGCCACAAAGCCACTGAGGCTGCTAGGAGTGGGGCTGAAAAGCGCCCTTCGAAAGGCCTTACCCCAGGGTGGGGCACAGGGTACGAAGAGCCTTGGACGAAGCCAGTGTGGCGAGCCAGTGGGTACAGAAGCTGGATGGGGCAGCGGGTACCAGCTTGCTCTGTCGCAAGGACCAAACAGCTGGTGCCCAGGGATGTGGGAGAAGGAGATGCTTCTCAAGAGGCCCCAGCTGGTGTGGTTACTCCTGAGCCCTGGATTCTTCTCCACCACCCAGGCCAGCTGTGGGCGCCTGGGGTGGCAGGGTTCAGCCCTGTGCGGTGGCGGGGTTCAGCCCTGTGCGGTGGCCGGGTTCCGGCTGGGGAGGCCTTAAGCCCCAGCTGACCTTCAGGCCCGGGCTGGTCCTCCATGGCCAAGGGGTTGAGACCCGGCTTATCTTTCCAGCTGCCCCGTTCCCTGCCACCTTATCAGAAAGGAAGAGAAGGCCTCAGGGCTCAGAACTCCCACCCCGCCCTCACCGTGGGACAGTGCCCAGGTGCAAGCGGGGAGGACAACTCCTGGGCACAGTTAGGGGACTTCTGTCCTGGGAGAGTTTAAAAGGCCCCAGCATATTTTCTCAGTCTCAGCTGACCTTCCCAAGTGGGTGCAAGCATGAAGGGGCTGCTGATTCTGAGTGTCCTGCTGGGGGCTGTCCTGGCCAAAGAGGACTTTGTGGGGTAAGGGTGTAGAGAGGAGCAGGTGGTACGCACAGGGGAGCCTGGGAGGACTCGGCCCCAGGCCGCTGCCTGCAGGAGATGAGCAGACAGATACGCAGGAAGACGGCCAGCGTATCTGGCCGGGAGGCAGGCTGACCGGGGACCAGGGCTGCGGCGAAGGGGCTGGTCTCTCAGGACAGCCTCCTGTGCCCTGGAGACATCTGAGCTCTGGGGAGGACTTTCCAGAAAAGGAGATGGGAGGAGGCCTGGCTGGCTTTGGAGAGAGATAGAGTCTGAACCGGGACCAGGGCGGCAGCAGCAGTGTCCAGAAGGTTCTAAAGATCCCAGACCATCTACTGCTTAGACGCCTCGTGCTGCCCCCTGCTCAGCCCAGAGGACTGAGGCCCAGACGGGGTTTCTAGGCCGCCTCCCGTCCTCCTCCCACCTGGGACTGTGAGTGGCCAGCAGGGCCTCCTCAGACCCTCCGCCTCCCCACCCCCACTCTGCCCAGGCACCAAGTGCTCCGAATCTCTGTGGCCGATGAAGCCCAGGTCCAGAAGGTGACGGAGCTGGAGGAGCTGGAGCACCTGCAGGTCAGAGGACAAAGGAGCCCTCCCTGAGGCCCCGGGGCACCTCTCAGGCCAGCTGGGCTCACCCTGCACCCTCACCCACCCTGCAGCCTGGGCTCTCTCTCCAGAGCCACCCAGGAAGGAGACATGGGACCCATCCCTTTTAGGAAGGGATTAACCTTGCCCCCACCCCAGTTCCTGAATCTCGGTGCACTTGAACATCTGAGCAAAGGTGGGGCGACCCCTGTTCTAGTACTTTTCCCTCCCTTGCTGTCTCAAAGTCTCCCCACCCAACTCTGCTTCCTGGGCCATTTCTCTGACCATAGTGGTCTTTGTCCTCTGCCCTAATGTTCCTAATTATGTGGGAAGTTCTGGCACCAGCACCTGCTCCCAGGCTGGCCCCTCCCCAGCCCGCTGTGATAGTGCCGGTTCTTGTCCTCCCCAGCTGGACTTCTGGCGAGGCCCTGCCCAGACCGGCTCCCCCATCGATGTCCGAGTGCCCTTCGCCAGCCTCCAGGCCGTCAAAGTCTTCTTGGAGACCCATGGCATTGAGTACACGATCATGATCGAGGACGTGCAGTCGCTGTTGGACGAGGAGCAGGAGCAGATGTTTGCCTTCCAGGCCCGGGCCGCCTCCACTGACACCTTTAACTACGCCATCTACCACACCCTGGAGGAGGTGAGGGGCCTCTGGGGCCATGCCCACAGCACCCCCCCCCCCCCAGCAACAGGCTGGCAGAATCCGTCCAGAGACAGGGTGTGCGTGACACCGGCCCTGTCTCCTTGTGGCCTGGGGGCTCTGGGCTGTGGCTCTTCCACACTGCAGGGTTCACAGATGGCCTGCTAAGGGAGCAGTTAAGATAGGCATCTGGGCTCCTGGAAACCATTAAAACTGCCCTGCCATCTTCTGCCTCCCCAGATTTATGGCTTCATAGACATGCTGGTGGCTGAGTACCCACAGCTCGTCAGCAAGCTCCAGATCGGCAACACCTACGAAGGCCGTCCCATCTACGTGCTGAAGGTAATGTGTGCCTCACACGTGGGTGTACACGGGCACGTGTGCAAGAACGGACGCCCGCACCTGTGCGCCGGGTGAGCCCACGGTCGCTGGGAACACACCGTTCAGCGGCTCCCGGTGCCGACGTTTGGGGAGGTCTGAGTTTCCATGCTGGGGCAGGTGTGTGCCTCCCTGTACGGCTCTTGGCCATAGTCTTGTGTGATCTGGTGTTTAAACAATTTAAACTTTCAAGTTACTCAAATGTTTCCAATCCAGTGTCACTTTGTGGAAAGTATCCTGGTTTGGGGTAACGCAGATGAAAGGTTTTATTTGTGAACTCCAACAGAAGAACAGGGCAGGGCCTGGAAGCCTCGCTGAATTATATTTGCCCCAACCTTGGGCTAAGGGCAGAAGGCCAAGTTCTGCAGGGTCCCTGTCCAGCCCCCAGCCCCCCACCAGGTGGCCTCTGGCCCGGGGCGCATTTCCCTTCTAGGAGGCGGGACCAGGCCCAGCCGGCCCATTTGTCTGCTCTTCTCATCCAGTTTAGCACCGGGGGAGACAACCGTCCCGCCATCTGGATCGACACGGGCATCCATTCCCGAGAGTGGGTCACTCAGGCCAGTGGGGTCTGGTTTGCAAAGAAGGTAGGCCTGGGAAGCTGAGGGGGCATGGGTGACTGAGGCCCCCAGAGACCCTTCGCATCTGGGGACAGAGCCTTCACAGGGAGGTCGAGGGCAGGTTCTGTATATTGCTCCGGCACAACGGATGCCTGACCTGGCCTGTGCTGCCTCTCTGATCCCCACCCCCCCTCCAGATCGCACAAGACTATGGCCAAGACGCAGCCCTCACCTCCATTCTTGACAGCATGGACATCTTCCTGGAGATCGTCACCAACCCTGACGGGTTTGCCTTCACCCTCAGCAAGGTGCACCATGTGCCTTCTCCTGTTCTTGGGGGAAGCAGGGTGGGCCTCTGGCCTCCAAGCCCGACAAGTTCTCACCCCTACTCTCAACTGCCGGAAGTCAAATGAAGGGCAAACAGACCTGCCCCCTAGACCAGGGTTCACAGCTCTGGTGGCCTTGCCATGTGGGGCAGGTAATTCCAGTGCCGTCCTGCACCTGCAGGGTGTTTGGCACATCCTGACGGGCACTCACGGGATGCCAGTAGCAATCCACCAGTCGAGACCACCAAAAATGTCTTCAGAGAAGGCAAATGTCTGGGTGTGCGGGGACAAAACTGTCCCCAGCGGAGGCCCACTGCCCCAGCCCTTACTTCCTGCGTTTCTCTTGAGGGCAGGCACGGCGTGCCTCCAGTCTGATGTGTATGGGGCGGGCGTACCTCGCGCCCTTTTCACTCTCTGCCGGTAGAAACCTCTGGCCAAATGCCGACCACGGCCTCCTCCACCCGCCGGCCCCCCAGAGCCCCCTTCGCAGACCTCCCTCCCCAACAACCAGTTGAAAGTGCTCCCGGATGCCACGCTGTGTCCCACCCAAGCCCCGGATCCGGGTGCTGTGTGTTGACTGAGGCTCTCCAGCCCACACGGTTCCCTGCGGGCTCCGAACGCCAGGCTAGTGCAGGGATGGTGATGGCCAAGTGTCTCACTTCTTCCTCAGAACCGCTTGTGGCGCAAGACTCGCTCGATCACGGCAGGCTCCCTCTGTGTCGGGGTGGACCCCAACCGGAACTGGGACGCTGGCTTTGGGCGTAAGACCCTGTGTGACCTGGGGAGCAGGGATGGGACACCTGGGAATGCCTTCTGACCCTCCTCTGTCCTGCTGCCCCTTTCCACCCCACCACCTGCGTCCTGGTCCTGCCCCCGAAGAGAGGGCTGCAATTTCGGCCCCTCCTCTGGGGCTCCCAGCGAGGAGGGTGGCACTCTGAGGCTTGCTGTCCCTTGTCTGTAACATGACAATTCCTCCCAATGGACCTAAGATCTGACACCTCCCTTGGAGTTTTCAGCTCCTTCCCTCTGTGGCTGCTGAACCAAGTGAAGTCTGGCTTGAGGGTCCCTTTGCACCTCCCCGGGCTGATCTGTCACACCACCCAAGCCTGGCTGGGAGGGAGGCAGGATGCCCAGGCTATAAAAGGCCTCTGGTCTTTCCTTAATCCATGGGTGGGGGTGAGCCCTCCTGCATCCCCCCCTCACCCCCAACTCCATGCAAGGATACTCGGCTTCGCTGTAAAGAAGCCAGCTACCCCTCCTCTCCACCCGCAGTGGCTGGAGCCAGCAGCAGCCCCTGCTCGCAGACTTACTACGGCAAGTTCGCCAATTCCGAAGTGGAGGTCAAGTCCATTGTGGACTTTGTGAAGAACCATGGGAACATCAAGGCCTTCATCTCCATCCACAGCTACTCCCAACTCCTTCTCTACCCCTATGGCTACACAACAGAGTCAGCCGCCGACCAGGCAGAGCTGGTATGTGCTGACCCCTGATGCCCTCCATCTCAGAGGCCGAGTTCGGCTGCTGACGAGTTTCACCCGTCTGACGAGTTTCACCCATCAGAACTGCTTAAGGCACCAAGGGCCTACCCAGTGCCCAGCACCCTATTTTTCCCTGGACCCCTGATGGCTTGGGAAGATTGGCAAGACAAACTGGCCTTACTTTTGGTCCGGGGAAACTGAGGCATACAGCGGTTGAGTCTCTTCTGTCACATGACAGGGTGAGGAGAGGGGCTAGACTTCGAGCTGGTACCTCAAGCTCACACTTGGAGCTGCAGTGTGGCCAAGGGGTGGCCAAGTGCCAGCTGGACGTCCTGCAGGGTCGGAGCTCTGAGGCTGACTCTGTAGGACCTAGTAGGTCCCATGTTCTCTGCCAGGGACCTGCATCTGCAGGGTACAGGTTCCAGGGTCACCCTGTCGGCCCCTGGGCTACCCTGGCCCTGCTGTTCTGGGGGCCTGGTGTGGCTAGCCATAGCAGGTGGTCTTGCCTTGTGTTTTCTCCAGGATCAGCTGGCTGAGTCTGCTGTGAAGGCCTTGTCCTCTCTGTATGGGACCCATTTCAAGTATGGCAGCATCATTGACACCATTTGTAAGTGGGTGCATGGTCTCTGCGGCGGGGGGGGAGGCGGGCCTGGGAGGAAGCTCAGCTCGCTTTTCCTACCCCAGGGAGTGTCCCTCCTGGAGGAAGTAGCCAAGAGGGCCCAGATCTGGGGACATGCGCAGGGAGAACAGCCCCTGTCCTGCCCGAGAACTGCTGGCCCCTGTGGGCAGTGCTGCCCTTTCTCTGCCTTGACACCTTCCAGCAAACATGTCAGCTCCTGTGAGAACTCTTGCCCCCTTGTCTTGGGGTTAAGTCTAGCTTCCTACACAGAGAAGGTAGAATCTTCTGCTGGCATTCATAGATCACCAGGAAATTCAACTTTAAAAGCACTTCTCCTGCAATGGCCCTCAGTTGGAGACGCTGCCCTGTCTTTCCCCAGCCCACTCAGCCATGCAGTGCCTGTGGGGGGAGCACGCCACACACAATGGAATCAAGCCAACAAATGTTTATTTGTTGTGCACCTACTATGTATGGGGCCTTGCTTTAACATGCTTGGGAATAAAATAAGCACAGGTCAAAAAACGTACATTCTAGCCAGGGAGACCGATGATAAATGTGGGCAAGTGGTGCAGTACATCAGGTGACAAGTGCTCAGGAAAGAAAGGAGAACTAGCGCAGGGTGACGGCGTCCAGGAACCCCGGGGCCCGGAGTGGACAGGCGCGCTGAAGCAGAGGCCTCACTGCGAGAGGGAAATTTGGACAAGTGTTGAAGGACATGAGGGAGCCAAGAGATGCTGCCAGACAGAGGAAGCTTCTAGAGCAAAGGCCCTACTGTGTGGTTTGGCCTAGGGTTGTGGGAATAGCAGAAATAGCACAGGCACCCTCATGGCTGCAGCTGAGTGAGAGCACAGAATTGTAGAAGCAGCTGGGGTGCAGGCAGATCCTTGCGGCCTTAAGGGAATGCACGAAGTTCACCAGCAGACAAGGGGCGAGAACACTGAAAAAGCAGGGGACAGAGACCGAGGTGGGAGGGCGGCACACACTTCTCACACACCTCCCACCTGGGGCGCCCAGGTCTGGGTGGGCCGCAGTCTTCCCTGGGGCTGGCCTTGCTTTGGGACTCCAGGCCTTCCTTGGAAACTCTTTCAACCTGAGTCAATGTTTTTGCTTCATTCAATGTTATCAAGTTAAATTCTGACACCCAGCTGCCTTCCTAACTGCTTGGTAACTGCACATCTGGACAAAGTTTCTTCTGAAAAGACAGGCAAGGAGCTTTTGCTTTGACTCTGGCCTTTTGCGCTGTCGCTTGCAGGTCACAGCCCCGGGACACGAGTCCTGGTATATTTGGAGGCTTGACCAAAGGCTCCTGCAGGGTGGAGGCAGTTTTCAGTGGGACTCTTGCAATCGCAGGAACCTTCTTGTACCCCCTGGGGAGGAGAGAGCCATTGCCATCCACTTCTCCGAGCCTCTTGGGCTGAAAACCTTCAGGGGGTTTCTCGGGAGGAAGCCAGGCCACTCGGTCAACAGCAGGTGCTGAGTAGACACTGACTCCAGTCAACACGGCAGGGCCCAGGGCTTTGAGCCCTCCGCCTGGACCATGCAAACATTCCAAAGTGCTCGACCTTTGCTCCCCCATTTCTGTTCTTGCCCCAGACCAAGCCAGTGGAAGCAGCATTGACTGGGCGTACAACCAGGGCATCAAGTACTCCTACACCTTTGAGCTCCGGGACACTGGGAGCTATGGCTTCCTGCTGCCAGCCTCCCAGATCGTCCCCACGGCCCAGGAGACTTGGCTGGCGCTCCAGACCATCATGGAGTACACCCTGAATCACCTCTACTGAGCCCACCCTTCGGCCCTCTCCTCCTTAGCCTCCCTGACCACCAAATAAAGTCTGAGCGTACACAGAAGAGAATCTGGAACGTGCGTGTGGGAACGCATGCGGCAGGCCTGCCTTTTTAAGCGGGGGCAGGAGTGATTTAGTTCCTGCAGGCCTCACTGCAAATGTGTGGGCGGTTTGACTAGTTGACCCCTAAATCCCCCTGCATTCCAAGGTCCTGTGAAGTTGTATCCAAGTGGCATCTGTTTTAATTAGACCACCCTGAGCTCAGCTCATCACTGGGGTGATTTGTTCAGACCGTGGTAGCAAGCAGCAGTCACAGCTGTTAACCAAATGCCCGGCACCCCACTGTGGCGAGGAATTCTACTCATACAATAGTCTCGCTGGTCGGACCCATTTGTCTACAGCAGCTACGGCTTTGATATGGGGTAGAGTAATCGTGGTGGCCACTGCGGTCCCAAATACATGTTGCAGCCTGGCAAGGAAACTTCTATAAAGCAAATATAGTCTCCCGTATTTTGCTTTATAGCAAGAGTGGTCTCCCACTGTTGAATGGAACTGGGAGAGAGCAGGTAGGTTAAATGGAATCATCTTCGGAAGATGAAGAACACCAATTTCAGGACAATTTATTAATTGTAGTGCATCACGCAGACTTTGCCTTGAGGACAAAAGTAGTTTCCTTTACATTTGCCCATCCTTTCTAGCATCTTTTTTCCTTCGTTTTAAAAAAAGATTTTATTTATTTATTTTTTTAGAGAGAGGGGGAGGGTGGGAAAAAGAGAGGGAAACATCAGTGTGGAATTGTGTCTGGCATACGCACAACTGGGGACCTGGCCCACACCCCAGGCACGTGCCCTGACTGGGAATCAACCCAGCGACCTTCTGGTTCGCAAGTTGGCACTCAGTCCACTGAGCCACACCAGCCAGGGCCTTTCCAGCATTTTTGATCCACCATCTCTGCTCCCTCTCCTGTCCTGCCCCACCACTCATCATTCACAAAATCTCTCACACCTAAGCCTCTCCTCTCCTCCACAGAGCCTAGAACTTGTCTTCCCTCCTTTTTGGCTTGGTGCTTCTCATGGCTGTGACTATATTAGCGGCTGGCACAAGCGTCATACCTAGGGCATCTCAACACTTTTCAAAGCAGGAATCTACCTTTCTTCCAAATCTCTTAGGATGTGCCTGCAGAGCAGGGAATTACTCCCATATTCCAAGTGAAGCTAACGCTGTCACGTGGCCGTGATTTCTACCTGCTGAAGACGGATCCCCACAGAGCTCACTGGGGAGTTGGGGGCGGACTGGCAGCTCCCCAGAGGGGAACGGGGTGGGGACGGCAGCCTCTTCTGGCGTCAGCCAGGCTGGGACGTCACAATGCCTGCAGCTCCACTGATTCAAAGGTCTCATCTTTGCCACATGAAATGGGCTCAAGTTCAAATGCTTTTTTTTTCTTAAGGAACCCTTGGGGAACTTTCATCTTGACGTTTTTATTTTAATATATATATTTTTGCTACGAAACTTTCTAAAAACCAGGAAGAATGAAGCTGACTATACATACAGCATACACGAACACGAGGCAAGGTAACACTGTTTCAGTTCATGCAGAAACGTGACCTAAGGACTCTAAAACAGTTCCTCCAGCTCATTTTTGGAAAAGCATTTCCCTTCGACCCGCGAAGGTAAGCTGAAACCCATTTTCATGGCTCAATTTCAGCAAGGAAAAAGGTGATCTTTTTTGTTTAATAAAGATTGATAAGTAAAAAATAATACTCTTAGTAATTTCAAGTAATTAAATCACCTAATTTAAAATAAACTTCACTCCCTGATGGTAGGAAGTTTGGCATTCAGTCTCTGAAACCATTGGCAGTACCCACGCCCCGTACATGTTTGTTGAAGGAATGCTCTCGGTTTCCACGAACAAACTCATGAATATTATAATCTGTGTATCACAGGCTTGCACGCTATCCTGAATTCTCCAAGTTGTAATTAGGAAGTAAGGCTCTGAACAAGTAAGAGTCCGGAGGGCAGGTTTTGCTCTGTTCTCTTCAACGCTTAATCCCCACTGGGTGGCCATGGCCTTTTAAATGTTGGCATGGAAGTCATCGACGCTTTTATTTTGTATGTTCAGTGTAGGAAGAGCGTGACATTTTGTTTGCAGATAAATATTTTAAAAAATCTATTGGTAAAAACTTTATTTTATAAAAACAGAAGTTAATAAACACAATAGTTTTAGAAAGTACTGGAGCATTTATGAAAAAGCATATGAAAAACTTTGAGGGGAAAAAGAGCTCCTATAAGGAAAAGGGGCTTGAAAAATAGACTAACATTTCAAAAGAAAAACAGGTAATTCCCAAAAGAAGAAACACAAAAAGCCAATAAATGTATGAAACATACTGATCCTCTGAGTAATCTTTTTGTTCGCTGAAGAAAAACAAGCCCCGGCCCCAGCGGCTCAGTTCGGGGAGCATCGTGCTGTACACCAAGAAGTTGTGGGTGTACAGAAGGCAACCGATCAATGTTTCTCTCTAAAAAAATCAATAAACACATCCCCGGATGAGGACTTAAAAAAAAACAAATGTATCATTTTTCTCCCATCGGATGAACAAAGAACAAAAAGATAGGCAGGGGCACCGTGAAATGAGCCCCGGCGTCTCCTGCTGCAGAGGCGGGGTGCACTTCTACAGCCTTCCCGGAGGGCGGTCTGGAAACGCACATGAAAATTCCAATGTATCATGCCCTTTGACCCAGTCCACTCGGAAGAATCTAAAATATTCAGATGAGTTCAAATCTATGCATATACGTGGTTATGATCAGAATTTGAATAGATAGGAAACTCACACCCGGGAACGTCGTGCGGCCGCTGCGGCACAGGCCCACCTGGAAACCCGGCCGCCACGTCCCCAGTGAAAGCAGCCGGCTGCGCCAGGCAGCTGTTCCAACGCAGGACTGTGGCGCTGGTCGCACGGCCCTGCGGCTTTACCAGGACACTGTGTGTTTAATATGGGTGAACTTCTGACGGTTCATGCTTCCACACAGCTGTTGTAAAAAACGAGGCTGGTTACAAGCAGTATGTTGAACACGAATCTCAGTTTTGTCTGAAACACACACACACTCACGCACGCTGCCTGGAAGGATAATATTCCCCAGCAATAATTACGGTTGCCCAGGGTAGCGGTGGTGATTTTCCTCTTTATTTCTCTTTATATTTTTCTGAATTTCTTATGATGAACTTCAATAATCGGGAGGAGGGGAGAAGCTGTTTCAAACATGCCGTATAACCTGTGGGTAAAGTTATTTAGTATCAACTTATTATCAACACCAGACATCAGCCATCTTAATTTCTTTTTTATCGCTTGTCATTTCTCCTGCTCTGGCATTATATTTCACCATCCATTGCCTGGAACAATGTAATTGTCTTACCTTTGGAAAAAAATTACACTCCAGATACGGCTGGAAGCAGCAGTATTTCTACCAAGGGAAGGGGTTACTCCCGTCCCCCGGGGGGGGACCACCCCCTAAGCACTCTGTCAGAGCACGGATGAAAATTCCCCAGTGCCCTTTCTGCCCACATTCTGTTCCCAAAAGCAGTCTGGAGAATTGACTGTGCTAATAGACTATGTCTAGCCTCCAGAGCTTTAAAAATATCCTTATTTTTCAATGAAATCGTTTTGCTTTTTTCTTAGACCATTATGTATGGCCTGTGGGCCACCAGTGGTCCATGAGAATCCGTTGGGTGGTCCCTTCCCGTCTAGCTTTCTGGCTCTAGCCTGAAGTTAAAATTGAAATGTGGTTGAATACGGTCCAGCTATGACCTCACTGGTCCCTCATCCAGTGCAGGGCGATTCATCATCTCAGCAACTGGTTTGCAAGGGTGAGGTGACTCGGTGGATTTGAAGATGCAGGCGGACTCTTGCTCTGGGGCCTCTAAGGACAGACATCACTCTGTGAACACACTAAGACCCAGGTGCCACTTTCGGGAAACTGACAAGACCAACTACCACATCCAAGTTGGCCAGGGGGAGGAAGACCCCTGAGAAGAAAGCACAGAGCACCTGTCAACTCCGGAAAACCTGTCAACGGGTAAGGAGTTCTCCCTAAAGCTTTCAGGATCCACATTAAATTGGGAACTCAAACTCAGCATCATCTAACAGCCCCAGAGACTTGAGACCGCCAAGTGTTTCTTGCCAAGCTGAAAGGGAAAATGAAAAGTCCTTGGCCTAACCACAGCAGTGGCGTTCGGCTGCATTTCAGCCCAGCGCGGTGGAACCAGACCGCTGCTAGCGCCCTCGAGGCGCAGGGGGTTGCCGACCTCCCACCCGGGCCTGAGGCCACGCGCCAATTTACGAAATCTGTGCCTCAGCCTAAATCAGAAACATCACCACGAAGGAGAGAAAAGGCCAGACACAAATCATATCAATATGGTTTATTGAATGAGTAGTTCAACCTCTTGGGAAAACAGCCTACTTTTCCCCCTAGGATCTAATGAAAAGTTTGTAACTCATTCCTTGAGTGATGCTCCAGTAGGAGTTCACTGAGAAACAAAACAAACTGCAGACACCTTGGGACACCTGTCTTCAAGCCAGGTCCCCAGGCACAGACGGCAGCAGTGTGCAAGTACTCAGTCCCGGGAGCAGACGTTTCAGCCCCTGCACTTCCATTGCCTTTTGTGCAGACAGGGGGGAACAGCTCCCCGTGGCATCTCAGGGATGAGGAGGAAAGCCGACAGCCAGGGAGAGTCACATTCCCGTTGGTGGACCGAAGGCGTCCCCGAGGGAGGCCATGGCCGAGCCCGCCACGAGTGGGAACCATGGAGCAGAGTGGAGGATGGAACTTTCTGCGGGGCCGTGACCCTCGAGCTGGATCCCGGCCTCTCAACCTTCTGCCCAGTGACTGGGGACAAGGTGCTGAATAGCCACTCGACCCTCCGTGTCCTTTCCTGAAAATGAGGGTGCCTACCTCAGAGGGCTGCTGTGAGAATTAAATGAGAACATAAAACGAAGAATCTGGAAACACCACCCAACACACAGGAAGCTCTCTATAAATGCGAGGTGGCGTTATTATCTGGAAATCGTCACGACTGCAAACAAGAGAGAGACAATAACCCACTCTCCCGATGGGGATGGTGAGCAAGCTGTGTGTGGTGAATTTTGCAGGTGACTTTCAGCCCTCTGGGGACAGAAAACAGGCCCAGGGGGAATGCAGATGGCAGGGTCACAACCACACCCCAGGCTCTCAGGTGCTCCTGCAGAGGGTGATCTAAGAACCTCAGGGGTGTGAGTGCCTCTCCCACAAAAGCAGGACAGGCCCACGGGGATGAACAATAAAGTGCTTTCCGGATGTCCAGAATGGCTGACCACTGAGTGGCCACCACGATGGGCATTCCATCCCAGACTTCAGTCTCCAGTTTCAATTCATCTAGTCACTTACCCTTATTAGGCCACTGTCATATCGCTGCTGAGGTTCACCTTCTAGGAGCTTACAGGCAAAATAAAATTTCAAACAATGAAGAAAAATACAGTCCATCAGGTGAGAGCATTTGGGAAGGGACCCCTGTCCGCCCCACCTTTTTTACCAAAGGCCTCAGGGTGTCTGGCATGTGAAGGGAATCTGCTCCTGCCCCCAGAACGGAGAGGACCAGCATGGGAGAGTCAGACCTTCAGGGGCAGGGGACCGTGGTGCGACCGACGTCGTCTTGTACGCACCTGGATGCCGTGCACCGAAGCCTGCTCGTCACAATTCAGTGCCGAGAAATTTCCATTACACACTTCACACTGTAATTGACTTGTGTACCAATTTAAGAACAAACACCACAATAGACGCTTTCAATAATTACTACGATTGTGGGAAAGTGTTACTAGTGAAATGCATTCTGAACACTTTGGAAGCACAGCATGTCTTATTTACTGTTTTTACAGGGAAAATATATTTGTTAATCAAAAAAGTAATTGAATTGCAAGTAAGCATGTCATCATGCTCACATAATTAAACTGATGAATTACCACAAAATTCATGTTTCTGATGTTTCTTGGAAAAAAAAAGAAGAGTATTATGGGAGTTAATTCTTGGAAAGAATTGTGAAGAAAATAAAGGCACATTAATGACACTGAGAACATTTTGGAACCGGGGAAAGAAAAGTTCTTAGTAATTATCTTCAGAGTACAGCAAGAAGGGAGCTGTGGATTTAAATCTAGGTGGACGGAAATTAATTATCCCTCTTAAAAAAGTCAGATAACATAAAAGGCAGAATCTATAACCCCTCTATAACATGACAGAAACCAAAATCAAACAAGAAAAATTACCAACATATTTCTTCCTAGCCTAGGACTCTGATTTCACTTATATTCCACAAGGGAATTAGAGAAAAAACAGTTTTTGTTTCGTTCTGTGTTCTGGTGAGTAGTCTAAAGTCTTAAGAATGTTTTGGTCTCAATAGCACCACAGGACAAATCCCTCTGCAACCAATGAGCAATGTTTGTTTGCTTCTCATTCTGATTTACACCAAGTCCAATATGACTGTGTCGGTTCCGGTGTCCCACTCCAGGCGAAAAATAAAATGACTTGAAGGTCATCTGAATCATTCCTTACCTTTCGACAGATTAAACCTGACATTATTACAGCCCAAGATGTTCTTTTTGTTTTCGAATGAGTAAGGCAGCTTTTGCCTCCCTCCCTTCCCCCTCCCCCGCTCCAATACGTGCTCCTTCAGCACACTGAGCGTATTATTTAGACTTGGCCGTGGCCGCTGAGCAGATGGAGCTGTAGCTGTACATTGATAAGGCACCTTCCATTTAAGGGGTCACGAGGCAAGGGCACCTCGTCAGCCCCTGAAACACTGTCAACAAGCTCCTGCTGCACTGTGTTTAAGGTGGCGGTGAGTCCCCACCTGAACACGAAACCCAGGCCTCTGCCTGGAGAGCCGCGGTCCCTTGCCCTAATTGCAATGGTTTCCCAACTTACTTATGGAAAGAACGTATGCTGCCTTCCTGGGAGATACAGCAAAAAGAGACTCTCTCTCCACTCACCACAGTCTCACCGAGCTCACCCGAATCAACAGGGAGGACGGCGGGGGTCGGCAGACCTCGGCATATTAATGGCAAACAACAACTTAATAACTATCTTTAATCTTTGACATCCGTAACAGCACAAAGGATCACTGATGGCTTCAATAACACACGTCAGTTAATCTAACGCAGAAACGAGTCAAGTTGAACATTCAAAGCAATGGAAAAACTCTGCAAATGACGCTTAACACCCATAGTGCAGAATGTGAACAGGTCTCTGAGGAGTCGTCCCTGACAGTCCTCACCGACAGGGCAGAGCACTGCGGACGAAGATATGCAAAAACACCCAGGGGGCCCGGGGGCCCTGCTGACTGCACCGCGGTCCGGTGGGCCCGGCTGACCAGCTTTCCGCGCACGTGCGGTGGATTCTAACACTCGGGTCGCTCAGTGGCGGCGATGCAGAGGAGGAAGAAAGGGGGCCCACCGTTTACTCCCCAAACACAGTTGTGTGAGGAAATCTGAACTCCTGGCCAGTCAGCTTGGAAATGGCACACCCAGAACTGTGTCACAGAGAAAACAGTTTTTGTTTTCTTAAAAATGCATGTGTGTCAAAATGGCCGAAAGTCTGGTCCATGCTAGGGGAAAGTCGAGTGTGGAAAAATTTGCATTTTAAAAAATGTATGTTGTAAAGAAAATAAAAAGCCAGAGCATTTTGGCATTTGCAAAGGCTGAACTAAGTTCTCAGGCAATAAATTTATGGGGGAACATGACAGGCTCCTCATTAAAGCTATGTGTACATTGGCTGAATTTTATGCACGATTCTGGAATCTTGTGGAAAACTGGGCACGGCTTGACATCGGAACAATGTCGCTGGTCTGTTTGATTTCTAAAGCATCGGAAAATGTACTTTGGAAATCAAGTAGAGAGGAATAAACATACTAAATCAGAACTGGGCTGAATCTGAAAGTTATTTTTCCATTTGTCCCTACAAGATATTTATTGCCTTTACTTCCCTTAAAAACACAGCCCCCCGCGCTAGAAATACTGTGGTGCTTTTTCTTTCTCCGACGGTGAGAGAAGAGCGCCGTTCAGGCGAGCCTCACCCGGCAGCAGGAACCACCTAAGGACAGGCAATTTTCACTTGGCTTTTCAGATGCTGGTTGCCATGACGAAGAGTACAATTTATTCCTCAGTTCCTTATCACAGCTACAGATCACAGACCATAAAAATTAACAAGGCTCCTCTCCTTTTCCCGAGGATTTCAGAGTTCCTCATCCTTACCTGAGGTCTTTTGTTCCCCCAATTAAATGGAATGAATGTCAGTCATCTTGCAATTCAATTAATGCTGATTCAAAATTCTGGCCCAAACCAGAATCTCTAATCACAGCCTCCTAATCACAGCTCAGTCAGGAGAATGGAAAGTAAGCAGGAAATTGCACTAATTACTCAGTTAGACTAATACTGCATTTTAAGCGAGGGCTGAAGGGGCTGTCGGCTCTGCCAGGGCAAGCGGAGCCGTCCTCACCTGTGTCTTCCTTGGCCCACCTGAAGCCGATGTTTTTAAGTGGCCATGATGTCTACCTACCGAAGGTGGATGGACCTGAGCTGGGAAGTGGAGATTCACAGCTGATACATGGAGGAGGGTCAGCTCTGGGGGCCCCAACGGCTCCCCGAAGCCCTGTCCTGTCGAGGGACGGGGCTTTTCTGCGCAGCTGGGCGCACGCCATCACCAGTGAAGCTCCAGGAGACAGCTGGTGAGGGGAACCAACCCTCGGGAAGGGTGAGAGCCGCGCTACTGGGTCTTACCAGCCCCCAAACTCCGCCAGGCCTGTATCAGGTGCTGGGAAGAGCACCTCAGCCGGTGGGCCCACACTGGGGGGCTCTGGGGAGGCTGAAAGTTAGCTTTCTCTAAGAACCACCTGCACCCCAGGCCCAGCTTCTCAGGTGGCAAGGCCCACGTGGAGAACCTTCATAAAACCCAGAATGTGGGTGAAAAAGAACTGGTTGGGAGGAACATAACCAGATGTGACTGAAGTATTTACAAAACAACACGGGACACAGGCCAAAACAAGCAGAACCTTATTAAAAACATTAGAGCCCCTCAAAACGAGACTCTCTTTTCCTACTCAGTTTCAGGGACGTAAATGTTTTGTAAATAACAGGGAGGGCACTAGAGCCCGTTCTGCCTCTGGTCTGTGCACAGACCCTTCCGGAGCTGGACGCAGAAAGGAGCTGGGGGAGGAAGAGGGACGAGGGCCCATCACACATGTCACGGCCTCTCCTCTGCAGCAGTTCCTGGAAATGACCAACTGGGGAACTGCTCGGGGGTTCTGAAAGGAGAAAAAAAATGGATTTGACCAACACAGACAAAGTCTTTACTTCCAGGGTTTGCCTTGCGGGTGGCTGCGGGGGTTCGGGTGGCTGGTGGGGCCCCCGGCGGGCAGGTTCTGGCTGCTGCGGGCGCTTGGAACCTTGGAGTCTCTTCCAGAGGCGTTAGCCTGACTCAGCCGGCCTGGGGGAGCAAGAAAGCAGGGAGCTGAGCTGCAAGAATGATCCCAGGGAGGAGCTGCCAAGTACATTTTTAAGATAATGAAGCCTTATGTTACAACCACTTTTAAACTAATAAAGTCCCATTTAGCATCTACTGAATACTTAAGGCTAAAACCTGTTTACCCTTGAGACCAACTTAAAGGTAAGGAAAGGGGCAGGAATGAAAGAAGACCCAGGTAGCTTTTCTTTCTTCCTCGCCATTGTTCCCAGTCAACCTAGTCTGTCCCATCTTCCTCCTCCTCCTCCTTTTTTAAAAAAGATTTTATTTACTTATTTTTAGAGAGAGGGGAAGGGAGGGAGAAAGAGAGGGAGAGAAACATTAATGTGTGGTTCCCTGTTGTGCACCCCCTAAAGGGGACCTGGCCCGCAACCCAGGTCCTGTGCGTGACCAGGAATAGAACCTGTGACCCTTTCTTCACCCGCCAGCAATCAATCCGCTGAGCTACACCGATAGAGAAGGGGGCAGGAGGGATTAGTGGCTCGAGAAGAGGAAGCGGTGTGCAAAGGAAAGTGGTTTAAATGTGCCTAGAGGCAAGAGAAGGAAATGAAAACCTTCCAAGAAGGAATCTGACTGCCTTAGCTTAGCCTCTCAACTCTGCCTGAGATACAGACACTGATAAATTCTCTTCTCTTCCCCGTGTGTGCACAATGCCCAATTCTCACCACAATCTGGGATCACTTCCGCTTGCCCCCTCTCCCTGCACCACACCTGCACCCCCCCAACAAATACTTTAAGACTTTGAGTATATATTATAAGGGATCAAACTTTTCATATGATGAGGTGATGATGTCCAAAAGTACAAATCTCAAGCTCTACAGAAAATATTATCTCTAAAGGTCAAAATATCTTACTGGGATTGTCCGAAGGACCCTGATCCTCTTCCAGGTAATATTCTATCTTTTTTAGGTCTTCTGGGGTAAATCTCCATTTATTCTCAGCTGGTGGGGGTGGCATTTTGGGGCTCAATCGCTTCCGGGCAGAACCAGGAGGAAGGGCTTGCTGGCAAGATGCTGGCAGGGAACCCGTAATCAGTCCTTCTGGAAATTTCTGAGCTAGGACTTTCAGACCTAGGTGTGGGCGACAGATCATGGAAAAGGCAGCATTAGCGTTGGGAGGCCAGGCAAACCTGACGAGGAGCCCGCACGGCTCCTAATCTTTGGTCTCAAGCGGAGGCTGACACAGGGATGCACACTGCTCCCTAACTGCTCTGCTGTCCAGTAAATGACACCAGAAAATGCCGCTGGTCATAAGGGGTTGTAAGAATTCCACCAGAAATCCTTTTGCTTAAGTCTTCAACATCCAGGCTTTCTTACGGAGCCCTGATGCCCTGTCGGTATCTCAGGAATTTAAAACATGTGCTGATAAAGATAACAGAAGTTTCACACAACTCCAGCCTCTTTCCAGCCAGCAAGGCTGTCTTTCCAAAACACCAGCCGACCTGGCTTTACTGCACTGCGCTTCGCTGCATCTCACAGATGTTTGGGGGTTTTTTTGTGCGTGTGTGTCAGACTGAAGGCAAGACCCTCCACCAGCAAAAAGATCATGCCTCGCTTCACTGCAGCACTTGCTTTGTCATCCTGGTCTGCAGCATCTCGGAGGTACTTCCTCTGACTACTCCGAGGAGAAAGGGGGTGAAGTGGACTTGTAGGGTTGTGAATCTAAACCTAAACATCAGTCTTTAAAGTCCTAGGCAGAACACAGCCCCGCTCACCTCCAGAGAGCATGAAGAGGTTTTCAAATCCTCGCTCGCACATGGTGGTGGCCGCCTGACTGGCCAGCCTCTCGTCGTCGTCGTAAAGAATGATGATCTTGCCGTGGGCGTTCTTCTAAGAGTTGGAGGAGTTAAGGTTCACCCACACCAAGGAAAGGCTCCTAGACTGTGAGACCCCCCCCCCCCAGGAACACAGAACTGTCCCAGTTCACCTGTCTGAATCCAGGGGAGTTCTCTCTTTACCCAGCACACCAGCAGGTGCCAGCCGTCTTTCTGCCACGGAAACCACACAAGCTGGTATTTTAGAGACTAATATCACCGCGGCCCGAGACAGCACTAGCCGTACAATGTATACTTTGTGGCTCTGCTGTTGATACCACCCTCAGAAGTACTACCGGCTCCGTGCCACAGGCAAGGAGACAGAAAACTTTTATGTCCAATGTGTTCTAATGCAGCCTTGTTTATCATAGTAAAAAAAAAAGGAATCACCTAAAAAAACAATAGAGATAAAAAGTTGAGTACGTTATAGTAAATCTGAAGATATTTTACAATGTTTCAAAAGTGGAGTTTATAAATAGCTTGTGTTACTATGAGAAAATGCATTGTAATATCATGTGGAGAAAAGCACATGATATTACAATGTGCTATTGTAGTATCTATTACAAAGATACTAAACTATATGTACAGTATGATTTCTACTTCATTCAAAAATACGTAGAAGATGGAATGGAATAAAATACACGAAAATGCAGTAAGAATTGTTCAAATGGGTGATTATTGAAGATTTCAATTTCTCTTTCTTAGATATTTCAGTATTGAAATTGTTTTCTTCTTGTATGATTTTTATCAGCAAAACACTTAACATTTTAAGAAGAACAAAGTTAAAATAGAAGAAAGAAAATTCGCTTCATAAATTTTACTTGGGAAAGCTTTCTCGGGGGAAAAAGGCTAAGGACGAACCCTTAACGGGTCGTAGCCTCCAACCCGAAGTTCTCTGGCCCAGCGCGGTGTCACTTGGGAGCGTTTGCTGTCACGGTTGGCACACTTAGCAACAGCTAAGAATCCAAATTCTAAAGTATGCTAAGTAAGCTAATTATTACCAAAGTCCTCCCCAGAGTTTTCTTACTGGGAGCATGACTCACGATAAGTTTGCTTCTTACAGTCCTCACTATCACCCAACTCCTTCCAATACAACAAAGGATACATACTCAAGAATATCATTTGAATAAGGGTTCATTGTTCTAGACAGTGTTGCAATTGGGTAACTGTAAGCTGCAAAGAAAGGAAAATTCGGAAGTTTGTAGCCCTCCTAGTAGATCTTGGCTCCGATCCCCGGTTGGTTTAAAGTCTAACTAGGGAAACATATTTTCAAAATCAGTAATACTTATATGGAAGAAAAGAAACAGGACACTATAAGCAACATATGAAGCTTCACATGACGGTTTCTGACATTCAGCACCGGGCCCCCGAGCCACCTGAGAATGTCACCAGCCTGTCTCAGAGCCTTATGGAAAAGCCACCTCCCGCAGCTGCTGACTGTGGGACGCGGTTCAGGCTGCTGGGCCGCAGGAACGGGCTCTGCTCTTGGGAGTGAGACGCTATAAAGCCGCCTCTCTTACCTCCAACAATGTGGCACTGCTGGTAAGAATCTCTATCGCGCACATCTAGCAGCAGGAAGGGGCAGTCGGGATAAGGTTTGTCTTTGGTGTTGGGCTCTGCTTTCTTCACCAGCCCTTTGTCTAGATCCAGTTCCCCAACACCGCTGATGACGCTGCGGGCAGAAAAGTAGGTCAGCAGACACTAGGCAGGGTTGGTGGCTACAGGTCTTGTGCATTTCTTCAGAATAGCTTTCAAAAGGCTCCTCAAAGACAAAGGAAAATGGAGAGAGGGTCTCAGTCCTGCCTCTGAATACAGGACCCTATGGGTTCCTATTCTATCTCACTGGACCCCGAGAAGAGGGTCCACAGGTCCTTCCTCACCTTTAGACAATGTATGTCCGGTCAATGACAGGGCGGAGGGACAGAAACCGTGGGACAGCACTCAGAGAAAGAAAGAGGTGAACAGTTAATCTGGTGGGACTTTGAGGGGGTGTAAGAAAGCAGAGCAAAGGGGAAAGAACAGGGTTGACAGGACAGGAAAAGCGAAGGCGTCTCTGTGTGTTACGTGTTACACATAAAGTAACAACAATGTTTCAATATGTTCATACAGTGACCTGTCCAATATGGGTTTGAACCTTAATGTTTTCAGCAGTTCTCTGCACTTACTTCCATTTTATGTTACAATGTCGAGGTTGAAGAGGCTTTTAGGTTTGGAGACACTCATATAATCAGACACAGGGAAAGCTAGGATAAAAATGAGACAGTTCTATTTCTAAGGTCAGAAAATCACTAAAATTGGTCACATAGCAGTATTATAGGCAAAATGGGTCTAAAACATGAGTCAAAGAAATAAGAAGACTAGGTGTTATAAATAAAACAGAGAAGAAGATTACTCTCCCAGGCAAAAATGAAGACCCAGACGCCACACCACAGACTGGCTCGCTGTACAGTTCCTCTCCCATCACAGCAAGTCAAATTCTGCGTTTAAATGTGATAAACACTATAACTACATAGTGCATATTTGTTGAACCAAAGGAGAAGAAATTCTATCTTCCATGGAAGTCTTATTGCTCTATCTTGCTTTGAGCGCAACTTCAGAGTCCTTGCACAAAAGTAGCTGTAAAAATAATAAGGGTGGTAGAGATGACAGCAGTTCTTCCCTAATGGAACTATTTTGCCAAGTAGCAGGGATGGGGATGTGCCGATAATCAGCAGTGTCTTATAATCGACAGTGAGCGTTTGTAAGAAAGGGCTGCGTCGCAGCGCAAGGAATAAGGACCAGCCCGGCGCAGCCGGACGATCGACCCTAAGGGCTGCTGTCACTCCCCTTTGCACCCATTTAATATCAGAACACTGTGTGTGACACTCGATTTTTCTTCCAATTCCAGGCGGGATAATTATAAGCTGCAGCAGACAGAAGAGGTGGAGAAAACCATGCTCTCTGCGTGAAAAGACAGTGGCTGTGAAGCTGGGTCCCCACAGCAACGTGCACACAGGGCGGCCGAGAAGAATGGAAGTGAGGAGTGAAAATGAGTGCGGTCCTGTCAATAGATTCTTACATTCACCGACCAGGAATGCTGTGGAAAGAACCAGGAGGTGGCATCCGGACAGGCAGAAGTGTGGGGCTCTCCCACTGCCAGTCTGGTTCTAAGGTAATTAAGTCCCTCTGAAATCGCCCTCTCGACTAATCGGAAGGTGAGGTGTGATGAAAGGCTGGATCCGATCCGAGTACCTCTGGAGTGTCGAGCGGCTGGAGTCTCCCGCTCCCACGCTGTTTATGAACTGGACGGGGCTCGGCGACTGCTCACCGGGACTGCCCTTCCCATTGGTCCTGGCAGTGATTTCAGCATCAGGGTCTGAAGCCGCAGAATCATTGTCTACAATTTGCAAATGAAGAAATAAGTACATTTAACTGTCGACTCTGTATTTGTCAGGCAGTGCCACTGAAATTAGGTCAAGAAAAGGAACTCACATCACCTTACTTAAATTGTTCTGTAAATTCTAGTAGGTAGGTTCTCAAAATGGACCCCGGGGGTCCCCAGGGCCCCTTCAGGGGATGTGCAAGGTGAAAACTGTATTTGTCTTTTTCACTGTGTCGACGTTTGCCCTGATGGTGCAAATGGAATGGTGGATAAGACTGCTAGTGCCTGAGCAGGAGCCCAAATAGAGGCATGAAGTTCATTAGCAATCACTCTATTTTCACCAGCCCCAATCACAGTTAATATGGCAGTCTCACTAAGAAGTGTCCCCGATGACGCAGTGATAATGAATCATTTTACTAAATCTCACCCTTAAGTACCCATGTTTTTAATACTCTGTGTGATGAGATGGGGAGCGGCACACGGCCAGTCTGCTGCACACCCCAGCACCGTGGCTGTCCCAGGAAAAAGCATGAGTGTGATTCCTGCTGCTCCTGCCATGAACACCATTTTCACTGGGAAGAAAAGCTGAGGAAAACTGTGGTTCCTTCCACTTGTACGGTTGGCAGACATTCTCCCCCAAATGACCTGAGTGTAAGAGGGAACTCGTCACTGGAAGGAAAACAACGGATGGCATTTGTTGCAATGGTTAAATTTTGAACAAAAATTGTAAGTTTGGACACTTTGTACCATCAGGAGCTTGACTGTCTCCCCAGACTTAATGCCTTTGCTGATAAGATAGGCGGTGAAATTGATAAATGCAATTTTTTGATACTGTGTAATGAAATTTGTCAGCAGTTGGAAGATCTTCATAACTCAGTGAACCAATAATTTTCACACAGCCAATGTATGATGGTATAAAATCACACATGGCTAAAAGGTGCATTCAAAGTGTAAGACAGAACAATGGGTTTTAATGTAGCAGAGTATGAAAAGCTCACTGATACAATTTCAGACTCCACATTCGAACTAACCTTTAGGAAACTATCAGTGTCAAGTTTTGGTGTGGTATCAAAGAAAAATATCCACAGTAACTGAAAGGACTATTAAAACACTCTACCCTTTTATGACTACAGGTCTGTGTGAGGCCAGATTTTTATATATTTCAACCCAAAGAGCATTCTGCAACACACTGAATGCAGAAAACAGGAGAATCGGCTGTCTTCTATTAAATCAGATATTGAGATTTAAAAAAAAGGAATACAATTCCATTCTAACTTTTTTGTTTTAGAAATATAGCTATTTTGCACGCAAATATGCTATAAAATTTGTAATAGGTTTAGTCTTGTTATTTTTAAGTGAAATAGTAAGTAAGTATTTTCTAAGTTCTCTAAGTTTTTACTACCCTAAATATTAAAAGAATTTACATATACCAAAACTCCTTGAGGTCCTCAATAATTTATATGTATTATCCATGTTATATTTTTAATAAATTTTGTAGTGTGGAGGGAGATTGATACAAAAAAGTATGAGAGTTTGCTGTTCTAACCAGAATAATTAGAGAAGAAACAGAAGTGAGGTCTTAATTTGCATATAATATAATATACTGAGAAGCTTTGGAAAAAATCCCATAGGGAAAATAAGTATGTGGTTACATTAAAAAAATACTAACAAACAATATCTTTCCTATGTACCAATTAGAAAATAATATGAAGATCTCATTTACAGTAACAATTACAGATATATAATATACTTTCCTAGAAAATAAACCTATTCAGAAATGTAAAGGTCCTATAAAAACTTCTATGTTCTTTAGAGGTTTTATACAAGTTTCACTCAGGGACAGTAAAGACCTAAACAAGCAGCGTGACACACCTCACATAGCCCCGACTGGGTGACTACAAGTTAAAGGATGTTAATCCTTTCCAAACTTAATTTAATTTTTAGCCTTAATATAAATCCCAACGGGATTAAAAAAATACTTTAAAAGAATTTTAACTATAAAAAAGCAAAAGAAAATTATACACACATACATAAAAATTTGGAAAACTTGACTCATCAAATAGTAAAACATACTGAAAAGGTAAATAATCAAAGCAATGCAGAACTACAATAGAGAACATAGAAACAAATCCTAGAATGTATATAAAAGGTAATATATATTAAAGGTGGCATCACAAATCAGTTGGTAAAGGGAGAACTACTGAATAAATAGTGTTGGAATCATCTGTCAACTATCTAGAAAAACCAAATGTAGACGGCCCCTCATACCAGAATATATAACAGATGGGTTGGTATTAAAAACAAACAAACAAAATAAATAAATAAGCAAGCTAATAGAGGAAAACAGAGGTTAATAATTTCTCTTATTTTGAAATTTATGAGTCTAAAGCAATAAAACAAAACACAACAAGAAAGGCCAAAAGATGGAATGATATAAAAATGCAAACCTCATATATGTCAAAAACCAGCACAAAGAAAATTAAAAGGTGAATAACAAATTAGGAAAAAATATCTGTAACATATATGGATGAGGAAAGGTTAATACACTTAATTCACAGAGGTTTTTGTTTAATTAACTATCTCTTTAATTGAAAAAGAATAATGTATACCAGTTAAAAATGCAAACAAGGTAATACGGAAAAAGAGCCTTTTTCTGATTCCAGACCCACGGCCTCCAGGCCCCCTCCCCCAGGGGAACCGACTCGACTGATTTGTGTCTCCTTCCAGAAATAAAACAACTACATAATTCTGCATGTATTTTATTTCTTCCCCTTCTTACATGTCCAGAAGAATGCCATTCACACTGCTCTACACTTTGTTTTGTTGTTTTATTTTTACTTATACTAATACAGCTTGGAAATTGTCCCAAATCATCAAATAAAAATTTTTCTCACTTATTTCCATGGCTGTATTGATTTCCAAAGCAGAGATATCATAATTACACAGAGCTTTCATATTTCACAATCAGGAAGTAGAAGATGAAGATTCCATTAGAAAACAAATGGGAAAGGGCGTGGAACGTTCTCAAAAGTAATGCACATGACCAACCAGTACACACACACGCACACCAAGCTCACTCTCAGTATCAGAGGCGTTCAGAAGAAAACCATTGCGTGCCATTCTTCACCTACCAAACTGGCCACTATTTACAAAAGAGATAATTACTCAGCACTGGCTAGGATGGGGAGAACCGTGTCTCCCTTCACTCGGTGGGGCTGCTGAGAGGCAGAACCGTGCAGGAGAGAATGTAGAATCCGCTCTGAGCGTCAGAATTGGCCCTCCCCTTTGTCCGCCTGCAGCGATTCCTCTTCGGGAAACAATCAGAACCGTGTACGCACTGATGCGTTTACATGCAGTATGGTTTTATAAGAGTGGAAAATCAGAAAAACTGGAATGCTCCAGCAGTAAGAGAATAATTAAGTAAATTATGGTATGTCCTGACAATAGACATTATATGACCACATGACCTTTACACGGAAGCTTTGGAAGTCTGTTGAATGACACAGGAAAGTATGTGTGACAAAATGGCCATTGAGAACACTGTCATACAAAGCTATATACAGAGTATGGATTTTGGTGGGAGTCAGATAGGGGGAAAACAGATCAAAATGTTAGCAGAATTATTAGTTATTTGAGTTTTCTCCCTTCTTTATTTTTTACAGTTTTCTAATTTTCTAAAAATATACTTTTGAGTCAGGGAAAAACAATAAACAGTATAAAACAAGATTTTGTAATCTTCAAAGATAGCCAATATGCAAACAGATACAATCTGTTCTACAGGCAATCCTGAGTGAGTTATTATTCTGTGTAGAGCACCAGAGAAACACTAATATTACTCACACATTATGGTGTCCTATTTTACAAGAGTCTATTTTGCTGTGCAAATTTATCTCCAAAGAGAAAATTGCATGTGCCCATATGTCCTGGTGCTGCAAGCTCTATAATGAATGAAAAGGCCCAGGCCAGGTACTTGCATAACCAGGTTAAAATTGGGGGTATTTGTATGAGGAGACTCAATTATCTCCGTTACAAAGAGCCCTTCTTTCTCTGCCGTGTGAGAGGCATCTGTCAAAGATAAATTCCTGGCTTTTTCAGATTCTCTTTATCCTTGCTAACAAAAACAAGCCCAGGGAAATGACAGTTGAATTGCACAAACCCAGTGTTCAGACTTCCTGAGAAACTTGTCTTGAAATCAGAAGTCGAATTACTGGCCTACATCAAACTTAACAAAACACATTCCCCTTCAGTAAACAGCCACACATTGACTGGTGAGTGCTTTGGGATAAAATAAAGACCTTAACTTTGTGTGCAACTAAGAGGGTTTATTTTAACGACTCGGAATGTAAGAACAGAACTCTGCAGCCTACCTATCTTCCTGGCCTCATCTCCTACCAGGCACCTATTTAGTTCTCCCTCGGTCCACAGCCAGCCTGGATTACGTGCCTGCCATCACGCTGGGAGCTGCTTCTTCTCTGTGCCTCTGCCTGCTCCTCGGCCAGCAAATGCCTCACCTGGAGAGTCTAGTTTGAAAGCTTTAGGACTGGAAAACACCTTCCCTTCCTCCAAACCCCCACAGCAAAGATGCCGGTTGCTATGGGAGACAGACAGAGCTGTATTCTAGATCCATCCCTGACTGGCTGCATTGCCTTCAGTGATGCCAACGAACCTCTCTCTGGGCATGAGTTTCTCATCTGTAAAGTACACCTTCCTTCTAGAGTTTGTGAGAAAATTAACGAGAGAACTCATGTGAAGTACCTAGAGTATGCAAATATTCAACAAATGATGGCTTCCTTTCAGTGCTCCCTTATGACTTTCTGCCACGTTAGTAACTTTGTGTTTCTGTTACCGTTCTCCTCACCCAACACATGAACACGTGTGCACGAGAGCACACAAGTGATGACAAACTCCACGGACACCAGAGCTGTGTTCTACTCATCACTGTCGCCCCTAGCACCAAATTCTGTGGCCAGGACATACATAGAAAACACTAAAAATATTTGTTGAAAAAAAGTAGTTAGTATATTAAACACATCTAAAACCTTTAAAACCAGAAATGCTAGAGCCACAGACACAGATGGCTTTTTTAAAGAAATGGGAATGAACAATTAAAGCACCGGACAGCATTTCTCAGAGAGCAACTCTCGTCACAAACAGACACGGCCCAGCCCGCGTGCCGCAGCAGCGGGGGCCGCCCCCCAGTCAGACGGACTCCGGCCTCCTCAGCTCTCCTTACCTTCCAGCCTCTGAATCTCCTCAGCTGTCACTTCCAGTGTCTGATCGGATAAAGACGCAACTTGGATGACCTGAGAGAAAAGAGAATGAAATGTGTAGCTGTGGGTATGTTTGTTTGTGTTTCAACAGAGGCAAGCCTGTCTTTTTCCAAAAGACAAAAAAGACAGGGAACATCAGAGATCTCTTGTTTCAAGAAACTGGCAGTGCCCCCAACTAGGGACTGAATCTCAGGTCTCCTCACTTTGGCAGTGGTAATGACACTGCAGACAATCATTCAAGAAGAACAGACTCCTTTAAAACATTGCACAATGAATTTAAAGGCCAAAAGGATAATTTAGGACAAGAAACATGAGCCTAAAACTGCACCCACATATATTCGAGTCCCAACATAACATGCTGTTTCTTGGAAGTGTAATACTTACAATAACAGAACTGTAAAAGCAATTCTTTATGTTGAAAGAGATTATGAGTATATTGATGATAATAAATTAAATTATGAGTATATTGATTATAATACTGTATACCTACATATAGTTTTTAAAGCACTTTTTACAACGTGGCTCCTAAGACTCAAGATTCGTCTTGAGTTATATCGATGGAACTCTTGTTTGGGGACCAGAGAGATGTTTGGTCCATAATTTTCAAATGAAGAAAATGACCTTCCCCAAATAACAAAATAGCCCAAGAAAGACTTGGAAGAAGAACCCAGTCATAGAAGGGAAGTCGCCTGATTTACACAGAGAAAGAGTCCAAGCAACTCAGAGTCCAGAACTCTAGATTCTAAATACTAAATTAAATGAATGAGGAAATAAAAACCTACACCACAAATGTGATGATTTAAAAGTAGAATGGACATTTTACTCTGTAGAATCCTTATTACAGAAAAAAGAAAAATTTCACACCACCCTCAAAAGAACATGCCACACACCCGTGCATCCTCCCCCAGGTGATAGAGAAAGAACCAGAAGAACCCTTCTGCACACATCACCTAGAGTGCAGTTCAGAGGGGCTCACAGACAGCAGCGCAGATTAGACAGTCTGCACACCGACACCAACGGGAGCCCATTCAACTTACCAGCTGGGCAAACGTCGTAACTTTCAGTCTCTTGAAAAGTTCATCTTTTTTGTATCTATAATCTGAAAAGCAGGATAGGACAAATATTTTTCTAGGTTTATTTTGTTTTCTTAGAGGTGTTCCTTCTTCCTAATCATCAAGTTATATGGTATATTTTTCAAGTTAGTTATATGCTTTTACACGCATTATGTCATTTGATCCTCATGAGATCCTCAAGATTCAAAGTGGCCAGTACTGTATCAGCGCTTCACCTCCCCTCTCTGCACTGGCCAGCAGAAGGCCCACAGCTGAATGTAGGAGCCACATCTTCGTGTCTAGAGACTTTATTCCGCGCCTGTGCTCTATCCGTCCACCATTTTCCTTCTACTAGGCTACCTGTACTTGGACGATGCTGTACCACATTTTTATAAGCTCCTTTAAATCCTTTTCAGAACAAAGCAGAGAAAAATGTCTGCATTTCATAAACCAGGACAGAGGCCCAGAAGCTGAGTGGCCAGCCCGCGAGACAAGGGCACCCTACTACTCTAACCCTGCCCTATAAAGAGAAGAGTGATATTCCTGAGGGTGTGAACCGTGCTGGAGACACGGCACAGCACTTTTCCCCCACGGGTGCCCTGCTGGGCACAAAGTCATGGCTGGTCGTGACCAACTTTTGTGTCAGCTCCTCTTCAAACTCACTTCGACAGAAAGCAACCTCTTCAGTTCTGCAAGGTGAGAAGTCCCGATCTACTCCACTGCACAGCGATGTGGGTACACTTAACCACTGCCGAACCACACGCTTAGAGTGGTTCAGGTAATACATTTTCTGGTTTGTGTTTTTTATATTTAAACAAAATAGAAATCAACCTAAAACACCAATATTTGTTCTGCGCTGTCTTTGCAGTTCTGAGACATACATCACTCTGCCAATGAGGGGGTTTCTGCAAGTGTTTGTGTTAATAATTCTTCACATCACACTAAACTGGTTTTAAAAAACGGAGCCAATCTCACTTTATCTAATCCCTGTCCCACAGCGGCACGTTAGGAGTTAGCTTCCCTACATTTGTCTGAAGACGACTGCCAATTCCGAAGTTTTCAGCGTGCAGCTCCCTCCCAGTCTTACCCTTCCCTCCCCCTCCTCAGTTCTTATAGTGGAGCCCGTGGCTCCTTAAGACTATTTCATTATTTCAGAATTACTAAAGGTGGGCTGGATAATTCCTGTGAACTTCACAGCATCAGTGTCTCATGAGCCAAGACTCCTAGCAACAAAGGAAAGGATTAAGGTATTTAAGGCTGTTTACCTGGTGTTCTAATCATTTCCACGAATTTTCCTTAAAAACCAGTGCAGACCGGATAGTTACTTTTGGAGGACAATGTTTGCTTGATTTACTGAACACCTTCTGACTCAGAGTCAGGAAATGATATTACTTTAAAAAGTAGCCTTTGTAAATACATCAAGACTCTTTCTTACAGGGAATTAGAGCTTCTTTGTTCTAAAATGTCTTAAAGAGAGCAATTTGGCTAACAAGAGAGCATTACTTCTAGAAAATTTTTAGAACAGCTTATTCTAAGAAAATTCTTAGAACAAGGAGACAAGCCCAGACGCAAAGGAGCTTCTAAAACCCACCAGGATGCAGACCCAAATAGGCTGAGTACAAGCTATAAAAAGTGCAACTGAATAACTAAAGTATTCCCCTCCATTGCCACCAAAACTTACTTATTTAAATCAAAATGGCAATACATCAGTCAGTGAAAATAGTCAATAGCTTTCGAGTAGTTTGCACTGTGCCGTTATCCATTGATATTCCTTTGCTATAGTTACAGAGTTTGAAATACTTCTCCAGTGCTTCACATTCTGAGCACGAAACACACACTTTAAATTCCCCTTTGACTAAGTAGCAATTACCTCAAACGAAACCCAGCTCTGCCAAATCCGAATGACTGATGTTTCTAGTGCCCTCGCACGAGGACCAGAAACCCACTGCACACTCGAGCCTGAACTCTACGTACCTGGTTCTGGTTTGGAAGGACAGCCATCACTAGCACTTTCTGACATTCTTACTCAGAGATCAAAAAGATCAAACTAGACGTCTGACAGTAAGTTTTAAAGTTTATAGAAAAGGATGACTTGGAAAGCTCGGTCGGCCTGTCCCTGCGAGGGCGGACAGAGCTTTAAGAATGGACCTTCTGCTGCTGCGCTTCCCCGAACTCCTCGATGAAGACAATCGCCCCCAGTTTCAGACGCGCTATCAAGTTTTGCTTCTCCAGTAAGTCTGGAGTCTCAGTCCGTCTCTCTCGAGTTACTGGAAGGACAGAGACCTGACTATCTAGGATGTTTCACACTGGGTCCAACTAGTGTCATCTAACCACCAGAAGCCAAGAATAGGCTTTGTAAGTGGTCAATAGACAGAGTGTCTCTTTTCCCCAGGCAGAGTTGAAAGAATATTCAGATTACAAAGGAATTCTGCGTTTTCAGGGTTCTGTTAAAACAAGTTACTAGCAAAGGGAAGTTGGGCTCACAGTGGAAGACGAATCAAAGGAAGAAACAGAACGAGGTTTGTGATTTCACAGAAAAGATGTGGCATCTAAGGTAACCCGAGAAAAGTGACGAGTCTAGGGTGTCACAAAATGAGGCAATATTCTCCTCCTCCCTTTGACCCAAGAGAAAACCTGCAACAGAAAATGGGGAAAGAGAAGGAAATAACCTCCGAAAGGTAGATCTCAAGCCAGAATCTGAAGCGATTGTAGTCAGGGGCCAGGCACAAGTGTGTGAAACCAGGTGAGAGGGGCCTCCTGTTTGACTGAAAGGAAGCCTGGGGCTTCTACAGAGGAAAGCACTGTCAGGACCCTGTTCCAGAGGCGTTTCTCTGGGGACACAGCTCCATGTAGAGTGGACATATGAAAGAAACCACGTTGTATGTTTAAGAGATGTTTTAAACAGGTTTCAGCAATCTGGGCAGAATGAGACAGTTCCATGGGACTCATTTTGGTGTGGGCACACGGGCTTTCAGACTCAGCTGCAGAAAAGGCTGGGAGGCGAAGGAGACCACGAACCGGATCTCGAGCAGGCGGCTGAATTTTCCTGCCGTGGATGACTTAGGGCAGCAATGCGGCCTAGGTGAGTAAACAAGACTTTTTTTTCATGGCTTAAAATTTTAACATATTCTTAAAGCATAAGCTACAAAATGCAATACAATGTCTAAAACAGACATTCTTTTGATATATATATATATATATATATATATATATATATATATATATATATATGAAAAGGAAAGGCTACCATGACACCACACATTAAAAACCGAATGTCTATAGCGTGCGCCCTCACAGCTCAACGAGGCAGACGACGGAGTCAGCAGAAAGCGGCCCAGAGTCCACATCTATCATCTGGGGTTTCTCAGCAACTCAAAAGGAACAGAAACCTTATCATTACAGTCTAAGGCCTTCTGCGTATAAACAAAAGTTCACATGAATTCTGGGTTTGTAGTAATCTCTTCCCAGAAGATCTGTATTAGCAGAGCCAAATTCCAAGCTGTTATCTAAGTACCTCTTTACTGCTGTTAGCTCACACTCCCCTAGTACTATGTTCTCCTGCTGACGATAAAAGCAAATCCACCTTGGAAAACAGATATTTCTGCTGCTTCTTTAATTCTGGCCTTGGTGCACACATTTTACATCTGTTTTGGACACAGATTGAAAAATTATGATTTTGTGCAAGAGCAATACACTCAATGACTAGTAGCAGCATATCTTTGCAGAAGATTAGGTTTTAAAAAGAATGTGTATGAAATATGATTTTTAATTAAAAGGAGGCAGACTGCAATGAATTTATAATGCATAATGTCACTTTAAGAATAAGCTTCTTCATATCTCTAAGTCTTTCATGAATACTGTCTAATTTATACTCAAAAAGAATGTTATGAAATAAGAAAGATATTATTACTCCTACCTCAGGTATAGAGAAAATAAGAAAATTGAAAAGATTAAGTATCTTGAAAAAGGCCACAAAGACCGTGGCAGAATGAGACTAGAAGCTCAGGTTCTCGCTGTTCGTTCTACGTTCCAAAATCACCTCCTGTGAGGCTAAGTCAGGCACAACTTGACCCCTGAGCCGAAACCCTAGCAGCTAACCAGGCTGCTGCCGTGTGTCCCGCATCTTTGTAGGCACCTGCCAGGCGCAGCACACTCCCACAGCTCTGCGTGCGGGCGTCGCTGTAGAGTGTGGTTAGGGCTGTTAACAACCGTTTAGAGAGCTACTACTCCACTATGCCAACCCTTCCACAGTGTTACTCACTTTTTTTGATCTCTTCTAGCTTCTCAATGTATTTAGTCATACTGTTACCTAAAAAAAGAATAAAGGTTTTAGATATGTTTTTCATGGAAGGAAATTTGTAACGCTGTGAAAACAGAATGGAGTACCAGTGTTCCCTGAGAACTTCCTATCCTGTGTTTAGAGAATCACAGGAGGCAGATGGGCCACGCACAGTAAAAATCTTTTGGATTATACAGCATCGTTAAAAGATGAGGAATCATGGGACATGTTTTGGTCAAATGTGTTTTAAGTTGGGGTGCGCACACAATAAACATGAAGAAGCCCCAGGCAGTGCAGATGATAATTTCATGTAATTTTTCCCCTTTTTGAGTAAAGGCTTTTCTCCTCCTTTTATCCCCATAATCCTTTTGCAGAAAAAATATGCCGAGAAAGAGAAAGAAAGAAGCAATGGTCCTCAAATGTCTAACATGTGCTATTGTGGCTACCCAAGCAAACCTTCCCTCTCCACTCAGTCCTGTGGTTTCCCCCAATTCCTAAACTTGGCCTTCTACTATTCATGCTGATGTTGCAGCCTGCACTAGACCACACAGTCTGTCCACAAGCATTCACTGTGGATTTGATTTGCTGAAATAACAGCCTATTCCCACACTGTGGAGAGTCCCCAGCCCTCGTGTTTTATAGCCTGGTTCTACAATCCTAGGTTCCAGCCAAGGTGGGTTGGAGAGTTTTCGTGCTTAAAACTGGGCCAGGATCATTCTGGTTTCTGAATGAACTGCAGTCTAGTTCTCACGCCAGCGGTGATTATTTTTCACTGGACATGCTTCAGTTTGATTCAAGTCAACATAGCAAGCTCTAGCTGGCACCTAAACATTCAAAACAATCTCTCATTTCTAAAATTGTGCTCCTAACTTTTAAGCCTTGAGAGGAGCTAATCAGATTCAGTTCCAGCTTCAAATAAAAGAAATGCTTTCAATTAATGGCAGCAACTGCTGTTTTTAAGAATTATTCTGAATTTTTCTTCATGTTTAAGTCAGAAGCAGAGAACGGAACAGTCTAGCTCTGAAACCCAAAATACATTTTCGAAAACAACTTATGTCATTTGTTATTATTGCATCTTTACCATGAATTCATCATGGAATGAAATTCCACTGAGTTTACTTTTTTTTTTTTTTCATCTGAAGACAAACATTCTCTGGGATCAGGATCAGTGTGTAGTCCCAGAACCAGAATCTGGCCCAAGAGCCTCCAAGAACAAGATTAGAAGCAAACACAATCTTTTCTAGGTTCTCCAGGCTGGAGTGGACTCGAGACGCGACCAGATCTCCAGAGTGGAAAGCATGACTTCTTCTGAGACACGTACCCCTCCCTCTCCCCTGCAGCCCCGAACTCAGGTGGGAACTCGGGGTAGTCAGTGCAGTGCTGGGTGAGACAAAGAAGGCGCTGGTTAGCAGCCCACAGTCTCATTTTCCTCTACATAACAGCTTTCAGTTACCCATTTCCCAGTCCCCAGCAGCTGCAAGTGGCCGACATGGCAGTTTCTTGGGGCTGGGGCGGCTTCAGACAGTCTCATCAGGAAGCTGAGGCACAGAAACAAGATTACTGACGTGCCCAGCAACACAGCAAGTGAATAACCGCTAAGCCGGGATTCATATTCTCAACCGTCTAGATCTGATACGGCTCACAAAAACACACTGCTTGTCTAGTGGTGCTGTTTTAAAAACACGATTTCACTGTGAGGTAAACATGTAGGAAGTGTAACTTCCCTAATAGTAGCAGGTGGGAAGCATTTTACGCTCTAAATTCCCCGAGGCACACGATGCATGGAAAACAATAGCCAACCTTATTGTCTTTATTATATAGTCTTTATCATTAAAACACTGCATTTCCAGGAACACAGGGTGTACTATTCACGTCCCGACCAATTATCAGCGTTTTTGAAGTATTCACTGGGCAACGCACCTCTGGGCCAGCGGCACCTCACAACCAGCCTGCAGGCTGCGGTGCCCACTGCTTGTTTTTTCCACCGATGGAGGAGGCAGGGAAAGAGTCTTTTGCACAGGTATACGAATATTTGGCAAAATCAAGAACAAATTTCTGAGGACTATAGACAAGCAGCTCTTTTCACTAAAGATAATTATTCTATCCAAGTAGGGAGAAAAAAAGAACATAGAGGATTTCTGCATCGATTCAATGGAAGAAATGAAATAGCTTGGCTGACCAATCACCACAAAGTCCCCTGAAAGTGATTTTAGAAAGTATGAAAAGTAGTATTTTGCCCCACTTTATGTAATGCTTATATCTTAGCAACTTATCTTACCAGATCTAATTTTAGCTGAAAATCATTTCTTTACTACCTCTTAAAGAGACTAGAAATGAATCAATTCTATAATTGACTAATTTATAAAAACATCTGTTTCATACAGAAGTAAGGAGCCTAAAGCACTGGCAGCGAACAAACTTTAAAAAAAAATTAAAACCACACATTCTTATGACATAAATTTTCCTAGACAAGACTTTGAATAATAATAATTTTTTTTTAAGTAAGTGGCTCCCCATCACTTACTGGCTAAAATTTAAACTCCTTGCTCTAGTGCTGAAGGCACCAACATCTAACCTACCTCTTCAGTCTTGCCTTAATTACTAATCTTGACAAAATCTGTTAGTCTTGGGTTGTCTACCTGTCATCTTGTTCACGTAATCATAATAGTTCACCCAGCTGGAGTGACCTTTCTGTCCTCTGAACTTCCACAGCGCTGGGCTTACCACTCGCAAGGCATTTATCATCAGTTTGCCTTATTTGTGTGCAAGTATTATTACCTATTTTATTACTTGGCAAGCCCACAATTATTTATACACACATACAGAATATCTTTATCCCTCCCATTATCTAGCACAGTAGGCACTCAGAAATATTTGCTCAATGAGGCTCTGCTATTTGAAGAATCCTCATAATGAGTTATTTTTATAATACAAATAACCAGACCCCAATCTGATACGAGTTTTTGTACACCTGACTTTCTTTAAGCTACGCACAACCTGATTTAATTCAGTGTATCTTATATACTAACTACAGGACACTTTGTTTAGGAGTTGGGTGACCTCGAAATGTATAAGGTGGTAATTAGCTTTGGCTTAGTTTATAACTCAAGTTACCACAAAAAATATAAAGAAAAGTTTTACAATTTGAATGGAGAGAAAGCGACAACGCAACTATAAAAATGGTGTTATGCGAAGATAGAGCACAGTCGATGAATTGAGAGACTCATTCAGTAGATTTCCCCTTTGTTTTCCTATAATTTAATAACATTATTTGTACTAAGCCAGCAAGAAAAGCAAGTGACTTTGAGCAGCAGTAATCTAAAGTGAGATTTATAAGGCACGGACTCGGTTGCTAAGAGACAGCTCCATTGCTTTATTTTTCTTCAATATTCCCCTCCTGTATGGAGAAGTTCTTTTGGCTCAGAAGGAGCAGAAAGCGTGAAAAGAGGCACAGTGGTCCTTTGTTAATCTCAATAAGTTATACGAGTGTATAGTGCTTTCTGGTTTGTAAAAGGCTTTCACATACATTTCTTCCTTTGACACAAGAAACAGAATTAAATACTAAAAAAAGATGAAGAGTACCTAGTCTGTAATGAGTTTGACTGCTAAAGATCAAGGCTATTAACAAAAATTCAGAGAAAGTAAAGACTAAAGAAAAAGGAAAATGACTAGTTTGTGTCGAGACAATAAAAGTAAGGTGAATTAAAAAAAATAAGGCTAGAAAAGACTGAGGGGAGCGAGTCTACAGGATTTCAGAAAGCTAAAGAAATTTGAAATTAGACTGAAAATAGAGTGAAATGAGAGGATAATTCAGGCAATGAAAGAGTGCGGGAGACTAACAAAGGGAGAGCGTGGTGTGGAAAGTGTTCCTTAATCAGCCTGCGGTGCTGCAGAACGGAAACCCAGAGAGGGTGCGGGGAGCACGGACACCCTGGGGTGGGAACCGAACCAAACGCCACGAGGGTTTCATGGGCAGCACAATCCGTTCGGGGCCCAGTCTGGCGATGCTGGGGGGTGGGGAGACATACCCAGGCACCTGTGGAACAAAACAAATACTTGGAGATAGATCCAAATAATTCTGGCATTTCTAGCCATGGCTATACATTGGTATTTGAGTTCGTTAAGAGAAGCAGAATCAGAAGTAAAGAAATAAAAAATAATCTTTATCCAGGAAGAAGGTATTTGAAGAACCCAGTGGAGGGTGACTTGGGTGAAGACAGGAGACACCACGAAATTCTTGATTTTTCTGTGATGCACTCTGACTTACTCACTGTGGAGAGGGAGGAGATGGAGACCCATCATGTAGCGTAGAAATGGGCACTGCTCACTCTCCCCTGTTCCCACCTCTACCGCTCTGACGGCAGACCTTAAAACACACCACATCCGGGAGCTCTTTACCGTCACTCGGGCTGTAAGACTGCGCTTGCATTTTTTACCAGGACTCCTCACCCTTTTCACCTGGTGGCACATGTACAAGTGATAATATCCGGACAGAACACGGGGCTGCACTGTCTCGGGCCCTGGGGGCTGCCCAGAGGGCCGCAGGGACCGGTACCTTGGCACACGGCACACAGGCCACCAGACTGAACACACAGGGGGGGCGAGTCATAAAAACCCACAGAAACATTAAAGTAAAATCTTCCCTCTAAATTGGCTTTAAAAGAACTTAATTTGAAACAACAAAAGAAACTGAACACTAGAATAAGATTTCTCTCCCACAATGAGTTTAAAATAAACTTCGAGCTTTAAACAACATGCCATACTTTGGCCCTTCCAAAGCTTTAGAATAAAAATCAGTTTGGAAGACACCTACTTCCAGGAAGATGAAGCAGATGCAGTTTTCTGTACTTCTCCGGCTCAGTACAACAAAAACCCGGACAACCCACAAAATGGGAGGAAATGCTGCAAATCATATTTCTGGTAAGTGTCTAGTATGGAGAGTATATAAAAGAACCCTTATAACTCAACAATAAAGAGAAAAATAACCCAATTAGAAAAACAATCCAATGGTTTGAAAAGCCACTTCTCCA